CACACAGACACACGCGACATACGCATAGTGACACTCACGCACACACACGTGCACAACCCACTACGCCACCAGGCCTCCAGTTCGTTAAATTAATGAAGCTCAAAGCAGATTCTGACAGCTCGTGCCTGGCACTGTTCTAAGTGCTTTATGATATTAACTGGCATACACATCCTGGTCCAGCTAACACACACATGCCCACCCCAAGATTCACAGGGGCACACCCACACTCTCACACAGAAACGGCTGCCTCCACAGTGTCTCATTCACGTGAGGCCTGTGGTAAAAACCTTCTTCACCATGATAAAATCCCACAACAGGTCACCTCAGAGAGGCCCTCTAGGACAGGTAGAACTGCCCCTGTGGGTGTCCCAGACCATGACGCTTTTTTTGTTAATTTATTGTTAATTGGGAGCTAATACATATGTCATAATGTTCCATTGTTCAGTCACGGTGAGCAGAATTGCAAGATAGTTACCACAATCAGTTTCCAGTCTTTTTCTCCCTGGACCCCTTGACATCAGCTCCCTTCTACCCTACCCTCACCCCTGTATCTTCCTTCCCCAAGCCCTTCTTCTACTTGCTGTCCCTATAGATGCATCAATCCTGGGTGTCATAGCCCGAAACACAGAAAAACATAATACAACTTCCAGAGGGTGACCTCCAATGACATACCACCTCTGAGAGACACCCTAATCTGAACGAACAAAACACAAATACAGAAAATGTGGACAACCGGACCAGGTCCAGCACGCATCAGAGAGGGGATCCACTGGCCAAGTGTTCACTGTTCAAGTCAGATTCATGCCTTAGAACCTCTGTACTCATCTCGCCCATGCTCTCTGTTTAGTAACCCTTTCCTCCCGTCCCTGAATTGTGGGTCGAGGGAGCTCTCCAGAGGCTTGTTTCCCATGTAGTTCCCACAGATGTATCTTGGCTCCCACTGGCATCCTTAGCCTTCTGCAGACCGGATTCTCACAATGTAGGCTCTGAGACTGTTCCAGCCTTTGCTTTCAGACTATACGATTACTTCGGTGACTGCTGGTGGTGTGCTTCTTCCATGTGGACTTAGCCTGGCATCTCACTTAGATGGCTGTTGGTTTGGAGATGAGCCTTTAAGACCCCAGACGCTATTTTATCTGCTAGCCGGGCACCATCTAATTTCTTCGCCACATGTTGCTATAGCACCCGCCTCCTCTGTGTCCCCTTCCTGAGGGTGAGTACTGAGCAGGGCTATGATGTCAGCCTCACTGTTCTCAAGTCAGAGCTAGGATTGAGGGCGAGCCCAAAACCCATTCCTGGATCTATGTTTTGTTTTGTTTTTCATTTATTATTAATTGAGAGTCAGTGCATATATCATTCCATAGTTCAATCACGTCAAGCTGAATTGTACAGTTGCTTCCACGAGACCGTAACTCTTTACGGGAATGAAAGAACTCCCTTGAAGTGGCTGATGGGTTTGAACCTTTGCCCTTGTGGTTAGCAACCCAACGCATAGCCACTACACCACCAGGGCTCCTTTGGATAAGACCCAGGTGAGGGGAAATGTTGGCTTATTCAGGCAAGATGGTCTCCTTCAGTCTCATGTGCCAGGAGGGGTCTCCGGGCAGTAGCCCACTGCCTGACCTCTCCTCCCTGGGACAGAAGCAACAAAAAAGCGTCCAACAGGTTCACTGCTCAGAAAGAGGCTGGCAGAACCACTGGGACTATGGTCCTTAGTCATCCCTCAAGTCAGGAAATGCACTACACTCCCCCACACCCTGTAGCCCCATTTTCAGCCAGACAGGTTTCTAAGGGGAACGGCACTCCCAGTGCGGGACATATTCTTTAGAATAATGGACCAGCTGAGATCAAGGGGCAGCTCTGGCACACTCGGACTGAGCTCAGAAGCATGAGGAGAGAAAGGGGCAGGAAACGGGAAGAGGTGGGAGAGGGGTGTGCTCCGGGGGCAGGGAGGCCGGTGTAGCCTTGAATGAATGGAGGTGAAGCCAAATGTGCATGAATTGCTGAGTGGAAACCGGATGATCTGCTCCGTGAGCCTTCACCCGATTCGCCATGAAAAGATTAACTATGTTACCAAGGCGGTGGTCGGCTCCCTGCTGCTCAGCTGACAGGGAAAACGGTCCCATCACAAACTGACATCCTTGCTGCGGCTGCGGTGTCTGGAGTTACCGTCCGAGTTTTCACAGGATCTCTTTTCCCCAACCCTCTGTCCTGAAGAAGGAGTCCACCCGCTCCTGGGAAATGCCCGTGGGGGGGGCGGGGACGGGCAGGGCTGGTTAGCACGGCCAGCTCTGGCCACACAGTGGGTTATACATTAGCTACTAAACTGCACGGCCAGCAGTTAGAACCAACGAAGAAAGATGAGCCTTTCTCAGAGGATCAACCTCAAGACGATGAGATTGGGAAGCAGAACAGCATGATGGCTTCCTGACCCGCGGAGGCAGAGGCCCAGAGACCATGTGGCTCAGAGCCTAAGGACTAGAGAGGGACTTGGCTGCTGGCTGAGGAGAGGTGTTGCTCTGGACCAACGTCTGTAACCTTAAGGTTTTTGGAAACTAGCTTGCTGTAACCCGCTAACCTCCATAATAAATCCCCATGATGGTTTGTAAAAACACAAAAATCACAGCTCTGTAAAGCTTGTAAATTGTAATCCCTCAAAAAAATTAAAATATAAAAAAAGATGAGCCTTTCTACTCCCGCAGAGTTAAGTGGCAGAAATCAAAAAAGGAGCAGTCCTCCCCTGTCCTATAGGCTCGCCAGGAGCCAGAATCGACTGTGAGGAGAGTCCTCATGGACCAGACGAACTGGCCAAATCAGACGACTGATCTGAAAGTTCTCTAAGAGAAAAACAAACTGTTGGCTTCCTTCTTTTTTCATCGAAATCAATGGATTCACACCCTCCCCTGAGACACCCATCTCTCATCTGAATCCTAGTGTGGAGATAAACACCAGATCAGCGGGCAAGCTGGGTAGGGCTTGGGGAAACCAAGTCTCCTCAGTCAGGCGTCCCCCCGGGTCCCTCTGTGCATTCCCTCTGGGGGGTACACCCAGCACAGTGCTCCAGAGTACCACCCGCCACCAAGTTAGAAGAAAACAGCCTGTTGCCACAGAGTGGCCCCACTCATGACCACGCCAGGTCACAGGCCAGCCGTGCTCCCGAGGGTTTTCCATGGCCGGCTGGTTTTTTCTGAAGTAGATTGTCAGGCCTTTCTTCCAAGTCACCATTCTTAGAGATTAGCAGCCAAGGACATGGAGCACTTGGGGGAGATGGCAGGGAGATGGCCATCCAAGGGGAGGGGAGAGAGGGGCTCACAGCAGCCCCTGGCTTGGTGCAGGCACAGCCATTCCAGGGAAGAAACGGTCAGATCTCAAGAATCTGGAAATGAACTTTCTCAGAGTTCTCTGTGCTCACGCACCCCCGGGAATGATCCTGTGACCCCAGGGACCCCCAGTTGGCGACCCTTCTAGATTGTGAGGAGGAGGGATGGGCCAGCATAGAGGAACCCCCATGAGTGCCTGTTGCGGGTTCCTAAGTGCAAAAATCCATGCTATAGATCCTAACCCCTATACCTGTGGCTCAAGGAGCCCTGGGGGGGGGTCTTGGGTTAAATGTTGGGGTGCACAAGTCAATAGGTCAGCAGTGCACACCCACCTGCCACTGGGCAGGAGGAGGAGGAGGCTGGCTGCTGCTGCAGGGATTTGCAATGGCCGAAACCCCAGGAAGCAATTCCACTCCGTCTTCCTGGGTCCACATGAGTGGTCTCTGGTCGCACCACACGAGGAGGGTCACAGATAGGCCTGGATTTTCCATGCAGAAGTTGTCGGATTGGACAATGCTTCATTGTGTATATTGTGGCCACAATTTAAAAAAATAACTATTACACTAAAAAAGAGTCCGTATCTACCAGACGGCAACAGGTTTTGAAGTTTTTTTGGTCTTAGCACCAAAATGCAAACTCACTGCCACAGCATCCATTCTGACTCACAGTGACCCTGTAGGACAGGGTAGAATGGCCCACCCTGTGAGGGCCAGAAAGCATCCTTTCTCCTGAGTGGTCTCAGGGCTGTGAGCACGCTTCTTGCTCATTATATTAATGAGAGGACTTGTGTAGCATATCCTGAAGTGGGTGTCAAGTCCCTCCCTCCTGGGAGAGAACAGAGGCGAGGCGAGCCCTGGAGGGAAAAGCTGCCACAAAGCCACACAGAGATTACCCAGAGATGCTGAAGAGAAGGACCTCCCTCAGAGCTGACAGAGAGGGTGGGGCCTCCCCCTGGCGCGGGACCTTGCTCTCCTGGAAGAATGCCGTGTCTGGGCTCCTAAGCTACAGAAGAATCTGTTTCAGCCTCACAGCATCACAGCGGTCGAGTTTGGTCTGCCTGCCGTAGGACCACTGGGGAATTAAGTCGGGGTGTTGGCATGGGGTGTCGTGGGACAGAGCTAATGCCTCGAGGTCCCCACTGCACCTGCCTTGCAATGGGCGTGCTGCAAGCTCCCTGTGTGCCCAGACGCCACCTGAGCCCTAAAGGGATGCCTGTCTGCCCCACTCACTCACTACCATCCAGCCTTTGCTGACTGACAGGAACCCTACAGGGCAACGTAGAACTGCCCCTGCGGGTTCCCGAGACTGTAACTCTATGAGAGTACACGGCCTCATCTTCATCCCTCTGAGCAGTTGGTGGTTTCGAACCGCTGACCTTGTGATTAGTAACCCAAAGTGGAACCCACAGTATCACCAAGACTCCTGATCCCACAGCCATACTTTATGCTCACAGGCCTTGTCCAGTCCCTTCCCGCTTCTCTCTCCAGCACCTCCCCTCAGACCAGAAGGAGGTGCTCAGGCATAAGATTAAGCTGCCTCCCCCCCTGAGGATTCTTCATGCCCAGATCAAGGCACCATCCTCCTTGCCTCTTTCTCATGGAGGACCTGATTTCCTGAGCACAGAGCAGGACCCCCTGAAAGAGCCGGGCCCCACGCCAGGGGCGGGGACACACTCCTTACCCGTCTGAAGCAGGCCGGCGTTGCTGTCACTGATCTTAAAAAAGTTCTGCACATCCAGCAGCACTCCTGCGGACAGAGGGGCGAGGCTCAGAAATGGGCCGCAGTCTCGCTGGGCCTGGCCTCAAATGGCAACTGCCCCTGAGTTAGGGACAGGGCCACAGTACAGGGCCTAGCACAGGACACACACACATGCACACACACACACACACACACACATACTAGGGGGTACCCCCAGAAAAACCGATGCTCATTTGTTTTGTTTTTTATGTGAGGGGGTTAGTGCATTTGGAGTTTATTCCACCACATCAGACTATTAATCAAGCTTTCTACTTAGAGGTGCTGAAAAAATAGCTTACAGTGTGCAACAGAAAGGCCTGATTCATGGCAGACGGGGGACTGCTTTTGCCACCAAAACAAAGCACCGCTCACGCAGCCACCTCAGTGGGCTGGTTTTTGGCGAAAACCAGCATGCCTCTTTTGCCCCATGCGACCTGACTCACCTGACCTCCCTCCTCGCGACGTCTTTTTGTTTCCAGGAATGCAGAGGGACATGAAAAGACAGCGATATGAAGTAGAAGAGGTGAAGAAAAAAACGAGGGAAGTGCTGGCAGCAATCCAAACAGATGAGTTTGAAAAATGTTTCCAAGAATGAAATCACAGATTTTACAAATGTATCAAGTGTCATGGAGAGTACTTTGAAGATGATATGGTTGTTTTGTTTTTGTTTTTAATTTAATACATAGCTTTGGGAAAAAATCTGTTTAGGGGGGGTACCCCCATCGTACACAGAGTCCTCGACACCCAGACAGGCTGATACACACACGGCTATGCATCCTCACAGGCATCCCCCAAGAAATATACCCACACGCACAGATACACGAACATGCCAGGCCATCCTCCTCAAACCACACTCATGCACATATATACTGAGCTGTACACAGAAAGACGCACCCACGGGCATACATGCACATGCACAGGGCTGCCATTCACACTATAGTCTGAATGACTGGCAGCTCCTCACTGCACTACAGTGCTCAGTCATTTAGACCGCTGTGTCCACGGAAATCGTCAGTCATGCAACACAGCAGCCCTGCTTGTGCACAGACACCAGGCATGCATGTTCATACACCTGAGCATGTACATACGATGACGTGCATGCCACGGCCCACACACATGTACACAGGCATGTTCTACCAGAGGCATGCACACACTCCTGAATGCATGCATGCACACACCCCTGAATGTATACATACACACAGAGCTTCAGAGACTTGTGTCCCACGTAGGTCTGTCTGGCCCCACCTCCCCGAGGGTTCAGGCTTCTGCTAGTCACCAGCCAGGGCTCTGAAACCCCTCTGGGTTGTGGTTAAACCACAGGCACTGAGGCCAACACAGAGAGCAGAGGCCAGCCAGCCCCTGAGCACTGGCCTCGGCTCCCTGGCAGCCTCTCAACCCCTCCCCTCCTGGGACTTCTGCAGGTTACAGAGGAAGAGCCAGCAGAGCCAGCCTGCCCAACACTGCACTCCTGGAACTGGGGGGAACGGAACTGGAACCCAGGAGCCTCGGTGGCTTGGTGGGTTACATGGCGGGCTGCTAGCTGCAAGGTCAGCCGTTCAAAACCACCAGTTACTCCCTAGGAGAAAGATGAGGCTTTCTACTCTGGGAAAGACTTACAGCCTTGGACCCACAAAGGGGCAGTTCTACTCTGTTGACAGGGTGTGTAAGAGTTGGAACTGACTGGACAGGAGGAAGTTGGGTTTTGATTGAAACTCAAAAGTCCTAGTTGGAGGCACCCCATCCTCCTGCGGGGCTGGCAGGGAAGGCCGAAGACCCCAAACAGGGTGCTACAGAAGCTCCCACATAGTGGGGAAGAAAGCACCCCCACCCTCACCCCCAAACATCAGCCGGCTGCTGAAGAAGGCTCCAAGGATCAGAGAAGGGAAACAAAAGACCTTTTGTCCAGACGGTTCACAGCGGCCTGGTCCCTTTCCCCTTCCCTGGTTTTTAACCCCCTGAGGCAGACACGTCTGCCTTTCCTTGCAAACACAAACACACAGCAGGTGAGCAGCACAAGGAAACCACTCAAGGGCAGCTCCCTTGGGTATCCTCATCGTCCATCCTCTTCTCCACGGGGGCGCCCTGCGGGGTGAGCCGGGACCCAGGGGTGGGCCCAGCCTTGCCTTCCGGCTCGCTGGTCAGAAGAGGGGACTCAGCGCTGTGCGTGCAAGACACCCGCCCCAGCAAGCACCACAGCTGCCTGCGTGGTTTCACTTCTCCAGGCCTCTGTCCTCCCACGGTGACCACAGCCTCAGCTCTCCCACAACAAGGGGAAGTGCAGGGAGGGGCCACCGCGAGGGGCCCCAGGAGTGAGCCAGGGGCCCTCCAAGGCCCGTCGCAGGGACGCTGGGACCTCCATCCCGAAGCTGCCCAGCTCCCAACTGCCTCCTTCCCGTTTCTTCATGCCGCCCACTTCCCATGCCCCAACCCCACCCCCACCCTGATACCCAGGCCCGCCCACGCAGAGGGCCTCAGAGCGGACCGCTGCCTCACTTTACCTTCACCAGAAGCTCACATCTGAAGCAACCCTCCCACTTCAAAGAACTTTCTCTGGCTCCCCATTGCCCACAGAGGAAAGATCCAGCACCCAGCCTGGCCGGCACCATTGTGAGCTTCTCCCTCGGCCCCACTGGACTGGGGTCAGGAAGGAACGAGATGTCGGAAGTCCCCTCACTGGATTACCAGGGCCCACTAGGGGCTCCTGCCCACAGACATATGCTCAGTCAATCTTGACTGAATGACCGAGTGAAGGAGGGACAAGAAAGGAGAAGCAGACGGAGCCCCAGTCTTAAAGAATGAATGAGTGAGTGAGTGAGTGAGTGAGTGAGTGAGTGAGTGAGTGAGTACCAGGGGGGAAAGGGGAATCAGGTTGAGCCCCAATCTTGAAGAATGGCTGAATGAGAAGTTGCTGAGAACGCAGAAGCTGTTGGAGTCCTGGGGCCAACAAGGAGGAAGGAAGAGTGGACAGGAAGGAAGGTGGATCAGGGAGGGCTCTCAGCCGCCTGGGGCCCTAGAATCAACCCAGCAAGAGGTCTCTCTTACCTGGGAGCTGGACCAGGCTGCTCTGACCTCACAACCACCCCCAGCAGGTCCATGCAGAACCTCAAGGGCTTGTCTGTGAGACCCTGTAATCCACCCCCACCCCCCACTGCCCGCTGTCTTCACCCACTCACACCCCACCGTGTCCTCTGCCCCCACAAGCACTGTGTACGCTCCTGGTTTGGAACTGGAATCAAAACTTCAGTTGCCCATCCCAGCCCAACACCTCCAGGCCTGACACTAGCGGACACGTGCGGCAAGAGAAGAAAGGATCCTAGATGGAAGGCCCCCAGGGGGTATGCAGCCCCAGCTGGTGGCCGGGCAGCCAGAAGGCACGGCAGCAGACCACCCTGTCCCTCCTTACCAGCTATGATGAACCAGTTCATATAGTTCAGGAGGTTGATGTAGCAGAGCACGGCAGCTGCCACGTAAGCTCTCCCACGGGGCAGGCTCCACGGAACAGGTACAGCCAGAGGGGTGTGCTGGCCTGAGGCCAGCGCTCCATAGTAACCGCCCAGCCCCTCTGACCCAGGATCCGGGCCCCCAGTGGACATGGCCACCACCGCGCCAGCCTGCAGCTCCTGTCCCAGGCAGGGTGCCGCGGTGAGGCGCTCGGCACCGAGTCACTTCCTGTGTGCTCCCAGACTCCTGACCTCAAAGCGGTTGCCTTAACTGCTGGGCATCTTATCTCTCACAGGTTCCTGCAGAGCCCACTGCAGCCTCACCCTGAGGTTTCGCCATGCCCGGCTCTGAGGCCGATGGGGGGCAGAGGCTCCTGGCACCCTCACCCTGCATGGGTGGACACTCCGGACTTCCCTCCATCTGGTCGGTGGCCACGGTGAGAATGAGAAGCTTCACAGGACAGGAGATGAGATGGCTGCAGGAGGAAACTCTGTTCTTTGTAAGGGGAGCTGGCTGGCTCCAGTAGGAATGGGCGTGAATGAGGGGCTTGAGGCCAGCTCCAGTCCGGGAGCCTGCAGTTGGCTGGGAAAGCAGCCCCGAATGGGATTGCAAGTGGAGGTTGGCATCTGCTCAGGGTCCGGTGAAAGAAAGAGAGCACATGGGCAAAATTCAGTGGTCACTCGGTCCAGTTTCCTGAGGATCGTGGGCTGGTTGTAAAGCATCCCTCTGTTGTTGGCAAGGCAGAGGGCAGCAGAAAAGAGGAAGGCCCGCAAGGAGATGGACTGACACCCTGGCTGCAACAATGGGCTCAGGGACAGGAACAATTGTGAGCATGGTGCGGGACAGGGCAGTGTTTCCTTCTGTTGTGCACAAGGTCGCTGTGGGCCAAACGAATCCTTGGTGCCTAGGCAACAGCTGTCATTGTTAAGGGCCACTGAGTCAGCCCCTGACTCCTGGGGACCCAGCCCTGGCACAACAGGGCAAGACAAAATCATCCTGCATCACGATCCCCATGATCACCTGGACCATTGTGAGCCATGGCTAATTTCGGGAGTAGATCATCAGACCTCTCTTCCTAGTCCATGTTAGTCTTGAAGTTTGGCTAAAGCCTGTTCAGCATCATAGCACATAGGCCTCCACAGACAGGTAGGTGGCAGGTGCACATGAGGAGCATCAACCGGGAACCGAACTCCTGCCTGGAAGACAGAGATCCAAGCATTGAACCAGCAAGGCCTCAGAGCATCCCTCTGCAGGTTGCTTGTGTGTTACTGTGGCCGCCAGGTTACGTCTAACTCCCAACCACCCTGCAGGGTTCCCTACAACGTCGTCTTCATGACTAAGGGAGCCCAAAGAAGCAGCGATGCTTTTGAATTGTGGTGCTGGCGAAAAAGTCGACTTTGAAAGTGCCCTGGGCCGCCACAGGACCAACACATCGGTCTTGGAAGGAGGACCACCAGAAAGCCTCTCAGAGCAGGGAGGCTGAGATGTACTTCGGGCAGGTTGTCAGGAGAGACCAGGTCCTGGAGAAGAACGGGCGTCAGGCTTGGTGAAGTGGAAGGTCCTGGAGGAGATGGACCAACACAGTGGCTGCCACAATGGGCGAAAACAAAGTGTGAGCGTGGCTCCCACAGGAGCGGGCAGTGTTTCCTTCCGTGGCACACGGGGTCACACGGGGTCGCTGTGAGTTGGAACCGGCTCGACGGCACCTAACCACCATCTCGATGAAGGCAGATCACTGGGTCGTGAAGGCCGCTGGGCAGTGAGCGGTTGAACCGCCCACCTGCCGCCGCCGGCTGTACCCTCAACCACTGGGCCGCCACAGTCAAGAAAGTGCACAGCGTCTGGACCAAGCGACTGAGACAAACCAACCACGGAGAGCCTGTGGGCTGGGAGGTGAGGTCCTCCAGGAAGGTCACAGCAGTCTGTCTACGCGGCGGGGCGGCCAGGCATCCACAACGTCAGCCAAATCCGCAGTGAGCAACACCAGGTGTTTATGAGACTGGGCCAGGGCTGAGACAGGCGACAGGACTGGCTCAGATGAGAGGAGACAGAAGAGACCGCGAGACTAAGTACAACCCACGATCCTAGACTGCACCCTCATCTCGGGACGGGGAATGTGCACCGCTGGGTCCATGCACAAGGGAGGCTCCTCTCGGAGGCTGGCTGCTGAGCAGCATTGGAATATGCCCACTCCCACCACCCCCTTTCCCTGGCTCCCAAGCCTGAGCTCCCCACTGGGGACCAGGGAGCTGACCATCAGCAGGGTTCTGGGTGAAAAGGCTGTTGAATACCCAGAGGTTCCTTGAGAGTTAAGCTGAAAAACATCACTTTCTAGGAGCAAGAGAGGTGAACAGGGGGCATCAGAGTCAGGCGTGGGCAGGTGGGAAACTCCAGCTGGTCCCTTTCTGTCTCTGGGCCTCCGCTTCCCCATTCCCACATTGGGGATCATAGCTGGAGAGAGACCTGATGGTCCCAGATGTTACCTCAGCTTTACATTGAGATGCCTGTCTGTGCCTCCGCTCAGCTACAAGCTCAAGGACAGACCGCCTGCAAACACCTCCTCTGAGGAGCATGGGAGAACACCTCACTCCTTTCTCCAGAAATGACCGAGCAGCAGAAAACGGGCCACCTCAGCCCCGCCAAGCGGCAGTCCAACCCCAAAGTCCTGCTTTCTGAAGAACAGAAGGGCCTCGGCTAGCAAACGCGGTCCTTCGCTCCCCGCCTTTCCTTTTCTTCTTTTTATTGTGAATTGGGTGAAGGTTTACAGACCAAATCCATTTTCCATTGATAGACATTCTGTTTTATTTCATTGGATGTCATCCCCCAAATTTAATTTTTTTTTGCCCCGACCTCCTTCTTATTGTATATTACCACCCCTTTCACCCAACCTTGAGTGTGTCTCCACCTTCTGTGAGTTACTCACCCTCCCTCCCACCACCCCTGGTACCCAGCAGAGGAGGGCTCTTTCCTTGCCCCAGGTCATCCTGTGCAATACTTGTCCTTCTGCAAAGGACTGGCTTCACTCAGCATAAGGGCCTCCAGGCTCAACCATGTCCTGAGGTGTTTCATCATTCACTCTTTAATGTTTCATGCTTGTGGTAGTTATGTATGTCAACTTGCACAGGGGTGGAGTCTAGCCCGTCAATCAGGTCATACGTAGCTTGATGACCTCATATTGGAGGCGAGATGGAGATAAATAGCTCACTGGAGACCAGACACTCTATCTGCTAGACATTGCTGTGGACAAGCCACATGGAGGTATGCTGATAGAGCCACACCGATGGAGCCAGAATCCTGGGGCTGGAGGAGCCACATGGAGACCCACGCCGGTGCTGAGATGCTTCCACCACCACTGGATCCACAAGACTTCCTACCCACTGACCTGTGATCTTCCTGCATTAGGCGTCATTGCCTGTGTTGTGTGAGTTTGAAGAGGAATTTACAGATTAGTATTGGACATATGGGTTAATATTGGACTTCTGGCCTTGAACTGAACTGGCCTGGGATGTTTTCTTTTTTCTGTTTTTTCCTTCGTTATTTCTTTTTTTTTTAATTTTTTAAAAATCATTTTATTAGGGGCTCATACAACTCTTATTACAATCCA